CCGCTACAGATTAACGGTGAAAGGAGCTCTTACACGCTGCGCGAAATCTCGATTAAAGCCGCTGCTCTGAGCACCACGCTCAGCACTTCAGCAACCTCCGTGCGCAGCGGCCATCTTCCGGTGCTTCAAATTTTGAAATTAATTATTTTCTACAAAGGTATCAAAATATTGAGTATATGGTAAGACTGAATATATATAAATTATTCTTTTAAAAGTCTATAAGCATACATATACACAGTTGAAGGTTTAATGACATTTATTTTGGCCTTATCTAATGGAGAGTCAAAAGTTCATTTTGGAATGTATTTATGATAGAATCAAGGAAGAAAAATAAAACACATATGAAAGGAGACATGTAAATAAGAGGACCTAGAACCATTTTTGTTTTGTTTTGTTTTGTTTTTTGTACCAGGGATTGAACTCAGGAGGCACTTAACCACTGAGCAACATCCTCAGCCCTTTTTTTGTATTTTATTTAGAGACAGGGTCTTGCTTAGTTGCTTAGGGCCTCACTAAATTGCTGAGGCTGGTCTTGAACTTGCAATCCTCTTGCCTCAGCCTCCCAAGTGGCTGAGATTACAGGTGTGTCCCACCACACCCAGCTAGTACCAATGTCTTTAGAAACTCATCAACTATTATTGATGACACTCCTGTTAGAACAGTGCACTTATAACTGTGTGGGGAATCAGTTGATTGGGAAACAACAGTGAATAAAGATATTTGCCTTTGTTTAAGACTTGAAGAGGATTATAATTGGGAGGAGCTTCTCCCCAGCTGATTCCTTTCATGAGGATCCCTGTGAAGTATGTGTAAAATTGTGTTGGACTGTCATCTTTGGTGGCTGTGTGGACACATTACTCAGTTAAGAAATAAGGCTTTGGCATGCTTGATGCTGGCTCCTGCTGTCCAATGATGAGAAATTGTGTGCTTTTCAGACCAGAGAGAATCTTGTGGTTTGGAATTTTTTAAAGCAGTTATAATCATTTGGTCTTCTATCTGAAACAAATCAACAATTTAATTTCTAATAGAAGAGTAGATTCAAGACTACCAGAGTCCACATTAAGTTTCAGGTATGGTTAGCTCTAAGATGTAAAACATGAGAAAATATTTTTTTAAGTTGTGAAATGTCATGTACGTATTTTCATTCTGTATTGATGTAGTGAAAGTCATCCTCTATTTTGGACTTAAAGAGAAATCACCCTTGTGTATGGAAATTAGTTTTAAGTATTTTTTAATTTAACATATAAAATGGTATATATTTACAGTGTACAACAAGGTATTTTGATATATGTATATACTGTGGAACAATTAAAGCAAGCTAATTAATCTATCCACCATCTAACACAGTTACTTTTTTATTGTTGTTGAGGTGAAAACATTTACTGTTCTCTTGGCAGTTTTCAAGTACACATTATAATAACTGTTGTCACACACAGCACAATAGATTTCCAAAAGTTATACCTCCTAACAAACTTTTCACGCATTGATCAACATCATTCTACTCTCTGCTTCTGTAATTTCAGCATTTTTACATTCCACACATAAGCAAGACCATGCACTATTTGTCTGTTTGTGCCTGGCTTATGTTATAATATACGTTAGTAAAATGTACCTCCAGTTCATCCATGTTGCCACAAATAAAAGAATTCCCTTTCTTAAGGTTAATTAGCATCCCAAGTGTATATGTGTCACATTTTCCATATCCATTACTCCATTGGTGAACACTTAAGATGATTCCATATCTTGGCTGTTGTGAATATGTTGCGATGAGCATGGAGCGTAGAGATCTCTTCAACATACTAATTTTATTTCCTTTGGATATGTACTCAGATGTGGGATTGCTTGAGCATGTGGTAGTTCTATTTTTTAACTTGAAGTATTTTAACTCCTCACTCCTATCCATAAGGGTGGTACTAGTTTGCATTCCCATCGACAATGTGCCATCATTCCCTTTTCTCCACGTCTTTGCCAGCATTTGTTTAGTCTTTTTAGTAATAGCCATTCTTACTAAGGTGAGGTGATACCTCATTATAGTTCTAATTTGCATTTCCCTGATGATCAGTGTGATGTTGAGCATTTGTTCATATTCTTGTTCACCCTTTGCTTTTGAGAAATACCTATCCAGGTCCTTTGCTTAGATTATAACTGGATTATGTGTTTCTTGCTATTGAGCTCCTTGAATTCCTTATATATCTTAGGTATTAACCTTTATCACATGTATGGACGGTGAGTATTTTCTTCCATTCCATAGGTTGTCTCTTTACTCTTGGTTGTTTTCTTTGCTCTATAGAAGCATTATAATTTGATGCAATCCCATTTGCCTATTTTTGCTTTTGTGGCCTCTGTTTTGGGGGGGTGATGTCCAAAAAATGTTTGCCAAGACCGATATAAAAAAAACTTTCCTCCCATGTTTTCTTTTACTAGTTTTACAGTATGAAATCTTCCAATTCAGTATTTAATCCATTTTGAGTTGATTTTTGTATATAGAGTAAGATAAAGGTTCTTCTGCATGTATATATCCAGTTGTCCCAAGAGCACTTATTAAAGAAGCTATCCATTACCTATTGTGTGTTTTCGGCACCTTTGTTAAAGATTGGTTGATTTTAAGTTTTGGGATTTATTTATGGGCTCTCTATTCTATTCCATTGGTCCATGTGCCTGTTTTTATATATTATGTTATTTTGATTACTGTAGCTTTGCAATATACTGTATTTTAAAGTCATGTAGTGTGATGCCTCCAGCTTTGTTCTCTTTGTTTGGGATTGCTTTGGCTATTTGGTGTCTTTTGTAAGTTCAATATGAATTTTACGATTGCTTTTCCTTTTTCTTTTGTTTGTTCTAATACATGGCAGCAGAATGCATTTCAATTCATTGTTTACAAATGGAGTACAACTTTTCATTTCTCTGGTTGTACATGATGTAGAGCATACCATATGTGCAGTCATACATGTACCCAGGGTAATGATGTTCATCTCATTCCACTATCTTTCCTGCCACCATGCCTCCTCCCCACCCTCCTCCCCTTGGTCCAAAGTTTCTCCATCCTGCCCCCTTTACTCCCCCACCCCCATTATGAATCATCATCCACTTATCAGAGAGAACATTTGGCCTTTAGTTTTTGGGGATTGGCTTGCTTCACTTAGCATGATACTCTCCAGCTCCATCCATTTACCTGCAAATGCCATAATTTTATTCTCTTTTAATGTTGAGTAATATTCCATTGTGTATATATACCACAGTTATTTTTATCCATTCATCTCTTGAAGGACATCTAGGTTGTTTTCACAGTTTAGCTATTTTAAATTGAGCTGCTTTGAACATTGATGTGGCTGCATCACTATAGTATGCTGATTTTAAGTCCTTTGTGTATAGACCAAAGAGTGGGATAGTCAAATGGTGGTTCCATTGCAAGTTTTCTTAGGAATCTCTGTACTGCTTTCCTCATTGAAATTTTAATAGGGATTGTATTAAATCTATAGATTGCTTTGGGTATCATGGCTATTTTTTAAATTTTATTTATTTGTTATGTGTAACAGCAGAATGCAATTCAATTCATAGTACATATATACAGCACAATTTTTCATGTCTCTGATTGTACACAATGTAGAGTCACACCATTCATGTCTTCATATATGTACTTAGGGTAATGATGTCCATCTCTTTCCACCTTCTTTCCTATCCCTATGCCCACTTCCTCCCCCTCCCTCCCCTTTGCCCTATCTAAAGTTCATTTATTCCTCCCATGCTTTCCCCACCCCCATCCCCATTATGAGTCAGTTTCCTCATATCAGAGAAAACATTCAGCCTTTGGTTTTGGGGGATTGGCTAATTTCACTTAGCATTATATTCTCCAGCTCCATCCATTTACCTGCAAATGCCATGATTTTATCGTCTTTTAATGCTGAGAAAAATTCCACTATGTATATATAGCATATTTTCTTTATCATGGCCATTTTAACAATATTTATTCTTTTCAATCCATGAACCAAGTATACATTTCCATTTATTTTTGTCTTCCTCGGTTTCTTTCATCAGTGTTTCATGGTCTTCAATGTATAGATCTTTCAGCTCTTCATTAAGTTTATTCCGAAGTATTTTTAATGCTATTTTGATGGGTTTGATTTTCTTGACCTTATTTTTGTACAGTTTATTGTTAGTGTATAGAAATGCTACTGAATATGTATGTTAATTTTGCATTCTGCAATTTTACTGAATTTGGTTATTATTTCTAACATTTTTTGGCAGTCTTTAGGGTTTTGTGTATATAAGACCATGTTATCTGAAAACAGAGATCAGAGACAATTTAATTTCTTATTTTCTGATTTACATTCCTTTTATTTCTCTTTTTTTGCCCAATTGCTCTGGTCAGACTTCTAATACTATGTTGAATAGAAATGGCAATAGTGAGCATCCTTATCCTGTTCCTTCAACTTTTCATCATTGAATATGATATTAACTATGGGCTTGTGATAAATGGCCTTTATTGTGTTGAGGTATGGTCCTTTAATACCTAATATGTTTAAAGTTGAGTTGCTACAATGAAAGGATAAATATTATCAAATACTTTTTTCTGCACCTATTGAGATGATCATATGTTTTTTCTTTTATTCTATTAACATGATGTAGCATGTTTATTGTTTTGCATATATTGAAACTTTATCCCTTGCATCCTAGGGATAAATCTCACTTGATCATGGTGAATAGTCTTTTTAATGTGCTGTTTAATCTGGATTACTAGTATTTTGTTCAGAATTTTTGCATCTGTGTGCACCATGGATATTGGCCTATAATTTTCTTTTCTTGGAGTGTCCTTGACTGATTTTGGTATCAGGGTAATGCTGGTCCTTGGAAATATTCTCTTCTCTTCAATTTTTTTTGGAAAAGTTTAAAAAGGATTAGTATTAGTTCTTCTGGTATTTGAATGCACAAATTTATTACTGTGTATTTTAACTGGATGACAAATTTTACAAATTATTAATAATTGATATCCTCCTTGTCAGACAACAGAAAGATCAGAGTTAACGGAACCAAAGAACCTATAGAGTTTAAATCGAATCAGTGGTTTGGAGCAACAGTGAAAGCTCACAAAGGGAAAGTTGTGGTGAGTACAAATTGTGTGATTATGGTGTTGCTTTGGAATACCAGGTGCCCAGAAATGTTGTAATGCTCATATTTAGAAAAAACCCATTACCCAGGAACTTATTACACTCTCAAAGGTAAAGTATTGGCTTCTAAAGAACTTTAGTGCTTAAAATTAAACAATGTAGTTTAGTGTTCAAAACTATGGGAAATGAAGCTTGTTTCCCAAAAGAGCAGTTAGATACTTTCACATATTTTTAAAATGACTAAGAAATATGAAAAAATAAGGGCTTATTATTCAGGAGAGTATTTTATTGATTAAGATTTAAAGATCTGTCTAAAATCTGAACAGAAAAACAAGAGTACTCCTCTAGGGATGTTAAACAATCTACACCAGTTATCACTGATTCTTTTTCGAATAAAAGTCAAGCTTTCTTTAATATAAAAATGTTAGAAACTACTAACTACCTGATTTTGTGATTTCATTAATGTTTTTGTACTGAAAACTCTCAAATAGATATCTTTTAGTTTTAAACTGTTGTGGCTATAATTCCTATTCTTATTGCTGATACACAATAATACATGTCTAAGTTGTTGAGAAATAAGTAACCATTGAATTAATCTGAATTTGGGGGGGGGGGTTAGGGATTTTTTTTAAGTTGTTGGCTTTAATTTCTCTTCAACAATAAAGAAATAATTTTGGATTTTAGAATTTGTTTAAAGGTATTTGAATTATAGTTTATTAAGAATAAACATCTAAAGAATAAATACCTAAATTACAGTTTAGTGAGAATAAATATCCAAAAGTTTTATTTATTCTGTGGCTAACCTCCCCCAAAAGATTTTTTACAAAAATAGAGGACATGCAAAATATATATAGGTTGTCTTCTTTAGTTAGAAATACAGCATTTACAATGCACTTTATATAGTTTTTACATTTATATAGTTTTCTTCCAGAATTAATAAGATCTTTTTATTCTTTAGTAATATATGGCTTATGAAAATACTATTGAAAAACTAAGTCCATCCTAATAATTGTTTGGAATTCAAAATATCTTTGGGGTACTTTATTTTTTTTGGAGTCTTGAAATTTTATCTGTAGCACACAATTGTTGCACATGTATTCAATATTTCTAGAAACCTCCAAAACCATTGGAAATACAATATATAATATGTTCATGATAAGAATGTTTTATTTTTGATATGATTGCATTTTTTAAATTATGTGATGAAAAAGAGAATAGTGTAAAGTGTATTTCCAGTTAATCTTTTTTTTGAGTGCTAAAACTTAGCAGAATGAAGAATTAAATTCTACCCTATGTGATACAATTATTAAAATTAATAACTAGCAATGTTCAATAATTAATTATATAAAATCTGCCTACAGAAGGATCATCTTTCTGGGCAAGGTGGCACATGCCTGTAATCCCAAGGGCTTGGGAGACTGAGACCAGAGGATCATAAGTTTTAAGAGCCAGTCTCAGCAAAAGCCAGGAGCTAAGCAACTCAGTGAGACCCTGTCTCTAAATAAAATACAAAATAGGGCTGGGGATGTGGTTCAGGGGTCGAGTGCCCCTGAGTTCAATCCTCAATAATCCCCCCCCCCCAAAAAAAGGATCATCTTGAATACCCAGGTATCATGGGTACACATTGGACTTGAATCAAAACCTAAACATATCATATAAGTGAAATTAAGCAGATATATAGAGAGATAATATCTATATCTATATTATCTATAATAACTTTTTAGAATGGACATCAGGCAAGCACTGGATACTATCAGGCCTACAGGTGACTCTTTTCACTGTCCCAACTCCCCCTGTATTTCAACATTTATACCTTGCATTTATTATACCTTGAATTTATTAACCAAGTAACTGAGAGGGCCCTAAGACAAGGGAGCCTAGATGCCTTGGAGACTTTAGGGGCACTAGCAAGGCTTTATACTGTATAGGAAAGCAAAACTACACAGCCAAAGTTGTAGAAAGGATTGGCTTGAAAATATGGGTTGTCTCTGCTAAAAGTATGTATTGGACTAGATTATGAAGGATACATTTAAAAGCAGAAGATGACTTTAAAATCAGTATGTCTTCACTTCTCATTAGAAGATAGCCTAGTAGCTCCACCTTCTAGGATTCTGCACTTCTGTGTCCTTAGGGATGAGGCTTGGGCAATCAATTCAAGCTAGCAAAACAGAAGTCAAAAAAGCTGCCTATGTTTTGTACACATTTACTGCCTCTCTCATTCTTAGCAACATTAATGTTATTTAACTTAAAGAGGATTTCATTTCTATCCTTTTAAATATTATGCCCTTGTTAGAATCTAAATTCTGAAGAAGAAACCAGAGCATGTCATTTTTAAAAAACCACATTTTTCTTATTGATGTTTAAATTATTTTTTGTTGATAAAATTCCTAATATTGTGTGAGCTAATTCAAAGGCAAGTCCTAGCACCATAAGGAAGACTCTAATAAATGTCTTATTTTCTCCAGAGGAGCATTCTTAAAATTAGAACAAGTGGATGAAGCATCAGATAAGTTTCTAATATGACAAATTTGTTATCATAAAAACAAAGATGTAATAACTAACACAAAATATTTTAAAATTGTAAAATTATGTTTCACTTTCTATTTAGTGGGCATGCATTTAATTTAATTTAACATGCATTTATTAAGAAACATCTACATAAAAAGCTTTGTGTTAAGTGCTGTTGGCAGTTTAATAAATTCCAAAAGAGTCTCCAGTGTGAGAGCAAGTGTAACATGCACCCTTATCAAATTTACCACTCTATAGGTGAGCTAGAAATAAGCATGTATGCTTCTTTTCTAACCTTTTGGGGTTTTGCCTTGTTAGAATTGAGAGTGCATTTATGGAATGACTTTGATAACTTGGCTCCTTCAAAAAGATTGTCTGTGGCCTTTAGAGTTTATCAGAATAAATTTCTCCATAACAAGCAGAGTCAGATTGTTGAATTACTTTACATTCAATGTTATGCTTTGGAAATACTTATAGGTCATTAACATGTGCTTTTTTAAAAAATTGTAGATGGAGAGCATGACTTTATTTGTGTATTTTTTTTAATGTGGTGCTGAGGATGGAACCCACATGCAAGGCAAACACTCTGCCACTGAACTACAGCCCCAGCCCCAACATGTGCTTTTTAAATGACTTTTTGATTACTTCTCATAAAATTGCTGAAATAGGCATAAGATGCTGTCTCTTGCCTTCAGTTTTACTGTGCATAAAAAAACAATGAGTGAAAATAAAGCCCAAAACACTGTGATAAGGAGGTAGTATGTCTAGATGGAAGTCATTATTTAAACATTCATAAGAAGCAACTATGGGAATCCACCAAACAGAGGTTTATAAACTTGTGTGCATCCTTTGATCATTAGCTGTCTTGTAGGTTCAATTTTTTAAAAAAAGAAATGAATAGAAAATACAAGTTATTTGCTTTTAGGAAGTAATTTTCTTTTGCCATGTTACTTTTTTTTAAATTTAAAATTCTGTGGAAGGGGTCATTCCTTTGTACGTTTAATGTTTGGCAGTTACTGTGTATTAATCTTAAAAAGCAGCTTGGCAAGTTTAATTAACTCTATCAACCAAGGACTCACTAGGATGATGAAGGCCAATTAATTCAACTGACAATTTAGAATAGTATGTCCTAACTTTAGGTACACGAATAGAAAATTCAAGTCAAACTATTGTATAAAAAAACTACCTTGAGGAGAGAAGGGGGAAGTGCTGGGAAAAGATATTGGCCAAATTTTATTGTTATATTGTGTGTATGTGCAAATATGTAACAACAAATCCCATTAATATGTACAACTATTATGCACCAATAAAAATGTGGGGAAGAAATAAATAGAAAACTACATCAGAAATATTTTTACTATCTTTGATGTTTCCTAGGCCTGTGCTCCTTTATATCATTGGAGAACTCTTAAACCAACACCAGAAAAAGACCCTGTTGGCACTTGCTACGTGGCAATTCAGAATTTCAGTGCCTATGCTGAGTACTCCCCTTGTCGGAACAGTAAGTTATTTGTATCCCTTGAAACTGAAATCTAGCTCGATGGCTTTTCTATGATAGATAGGAGTGCAGGTAAATTCAAAACACCAATGGGGGCTGGGGTTGTGGCTCAGTGGCAGAGCGCTTGCTTAGCACGGGCATGGACCGGGGTTCGATCCTCAGCACCACTTAAAAATAAAGGAATTGTGTTGTGTCCACCTACACCTAAAAAACAAATATTAAAAAAAAAATACCAGTGATACATTGTAACATTATAGGGGAAAGGGAGGAAGGTGTAGATTATCGACAGCTTTGCAGGATGTCTTGCTATGATAGGGAGGCCAACGGTCAGAATTCTGCTGATCCTTTTCTATGTTTTTGGAAATTCAGTTATTAGATATTCTGCAGTAGAATTGATTTGTTCCCTGTTTTAGGTCTGAAACTGTCAGTTGCTGCTTAAATTTTACCCAGTATTCTAAAGAAGGTGGCTGCCCATTCTGCTTGTTTATGGCAGCCATGGTGTTGGTCAGCTCATGGTGTTGGGCCCAGCTCAGCATCAGCTTTCTGTCTGGCCTGTGTTCTCAGGGGCTGTTGCTTTGATTGACAGACACTTTTCTCCTTAAGGTGTTACATTCCCCACAACCAGCACTACCACCATTTTTTCCCTCAGTGAAGACGCTGTACACTTAAGAGTCCCAATCTCCCCTGCAGTTCTAGAAATCTTCTAACAAAGCATGTTTTAAAGGAAGCCTGTGAGTGCCACTTGGGGGACATTGCTGTATAATCCCTTTATTTTGTAGAATACCCAAGGACTCTGAGATGGCATGATGGGTGGATGGACTGACTGATCATCTGCTCAGAGTTTTTTGGGAACACCTCCATTTTCTAAGTGCCAAGTAGATTACTGGTTTTTGTAGATAAGCGACCAATGGTGTTTTTACTCTTATTCTTATTAATTCAGCAAATGACATTGATGGGGAAAAATGTCATTGGAAAGAACTTTCTAGAGACTGATTTCAGTATATGTTTTTTTTAAAAATCTCAATCCAGAGTTAGTTTAACTCTGAAAATTACAAGTGAATCTTCCTCATTTTGCATAAATATTTCTAAAATTCAAGATTATTGGGAACTTAGTGAGCCCCTGTTTCAAAATAAACAATAAAACCAGGCACAGTGGTACATGCCTGTGATCCCAGAAGCTTGGGAGGCTGAGGCAAGAGGATCACAAGTTCAATGCCAGCCTCAGCAAAAGCGAGGTGCTAAGCAACTCAGTGAGACCCTGTCTCTAAATAAAATACAATTGGATTAAGAGAGAGGCCACTGAATTTTACACCTGAAAGTGAAATTTATTTTTAACTCTGATGGGTTTTGATGAGGAAAATGATTTTCTAAATGTCAGCTAAATAAATAATCTGTGGAATAAGGACTTCGTTTTAAACAGCTATATGGAGGGTTCTTTGTGGATAACAAGATTTCATTATTTATTCATTCAACACATTTATTGAACACATTAGCACTACCCATTCTACAGTTAGGGGATACATCAAAGAATAAGAGAAAAAAAAAACCCTGTGTCCAAGGAACTGACACTTCAGTGGGAGAGATAGAGAACAAACAACAAACATATCAATAAATAAATTCAAATATCATATCAGGTAGAGAAAAATGACTTGAAACAGCAAGGCAAGAGAGAGAGGCATGACCCAAGCCTGGAGGGACAGGTAGAAGGGGGCTCCTTAGACAGGACAATAGGGAGAAATTCTTTTAGCAAGTGGTAGTTGGGATGGTGAGGGGAGGAATTTCCCAGGAACAGGCCATAGTCAAGAAGAGGTTAGCGTGGCTCACCTTCCACTCAGGTGCTTGGTTCTTGGGTTTGGCAAGAGGTCAGTGTTGTTAAGCCCAAAAGATTCAATGCTGAACTTGTTTTATCATTGCTTATACCTATCCATAGCACATTTTTCATGATGGCTACAGATGCTTCCCCAAATTACACATTTTTTTTTTTTTGTAATTAAAAGCTGAGCCTATCTTTGCACGCCTTTTGCCTTGATGACATGTCTTATTCCTCCAGCTGACATCAAGGGTGATCATTTGTAAAACCTGTCCCTACTTCTTGTTCTGCCCCTTTGCCTGACTGCCCATGTGATGTGAGAGCTCATACAGCCCATAGAATCTAGTCTTGTGGGGCACAAGTTTCAGTGTGAGGTTGAAGCATTATTTAAATATAAATTACAGACACTCAATCTTGAGCTTCTTTATGGTGCCAATTTATTTATTCTTTATTTTCCTAAATAGAAGAGTAATGGAACAAAGGCAAAAATGGAGTTCAGGCTGAGTCGCAGAATAGCTAAGTAAATGGCCAAGAATTTTTTGGACTCTAATACAACCCATAGTCTTCACATCCTCAGGGGCTCCCTATTCCTACTTGTACTTCTTCCTCTTTTAATCATCCAAAGATCAGACTTCCTGTCATGGCTAAGAAATTCACAGTTCATTAACACAAAGCCAGCTTGTTCATGAGCATATGGTCAATATCACAGAACAGGAACATCAACAATATTATTTTCAAAAGAGAATTTAAAGAATCACTTCTGTTCATTCCACACCACAAACCCACTCCGAAACTGTGAGCAATGTGGGAACTAACCTGTTCATTCATATGGATGTCACATCTTCAGCTCTAACAGTTATTCATGATTCAGGTGACGAGAGTTGACACACACTCTCCCATTTTACTCTGGATGCCAAAAACTAGTAGCAAATGAACAGCATCCATCCTCACATTCCTGAGTTCACTGGGACGTAATTATAAAGTTCAGAGACATTCTGAAATTCCAGGAAGAAGGATGCCTTCAGCTCTTCCAATAAATCATAATTCAACAAGAAAAGAGAAATGGCTTTGTGGATGAAAGAACTTCACAAGCTACTCCAGTTGCCACTCAAAATAAACATTTGAAGTTGGTTATTTTCTCAATGAATTTTTTTTAAAAAAATTAGTGTTTTTTCTTCATCTTTTTCAGTTTCTTGTTTTAAAGCAAAATAGTTTCCAAGAATGATCATGTTCCTTTCCTGTTGAATATTTGACAATATTAAAAGGAATAGTTGACTTTTTTAAAAAAAGTTTGTGCCTTCCAATGTAAAAAAGAAACAAAAGGGAAACCAGTAGAGAAAGAGGATCAGGTAAAGGAGTAAGGTAGGAAAAAGAGGTACTAGGGAATTAAATGGACCATATTTTGTACACGTGTGAATATGTCATAATGAGTCCCACTATTATGTATAATTCTAATGAAAAAGAAAAAGGTTTATGCATTTAAGAATACATTTCTTAAACATATTGAGATTAACACATGTAGATTCACATAGTAGTCTATCATGCATGCACATATATTTCTAGATGTGTATGAATATTTACACCCATAACTTTCTAGAAAACCAGTACCCAGAGGTTATACAGATGAACTTTTATGGAACTAAATAAAATTCATAGCCGTATGCCACAAAATATGATTATAAAAGGAAGTAAGAGGGTTTGGGGTTGTGGCTCAGTGGTAGAGCACTCACCTAGCATGGGTGAGGCACTGGGTTCGATCCTCAGCACCACATAAAGATAAATAAATGAAGGTATTGTGTCCATCTATAACTAAAAAATATTTTTTAAAAAAAAGAAGGAAAGAATTTTGTCACAATATGTTGTATATGGTAGATAACTTGAAAATGTAAAAAAAATAAATTAAAAAAAGAGGGAGAGCATCTGGAGAAACTGATGATGACAATACTAAAATTAGCTAAGTACTGACCAAAGGCAGGGGATGGGGGGAAATGGAAGATATTCTAGGAAAAGCTGGAAGGACAATATCCATTTCAGAAAGCATCTAGAACAGGCACACATCCAACCTGTGAGTGTTTCCTGTGATGATGTGTATTTGTTTCCTTTCCTGCCCTCTCATTTCAGTTTTCATTCTGGAATATTCTTGATTAAAAAACAAGTAATTAATAGCATGTTCATATCTAGCACCACACACACACACACACACACACACACACACACACACACACACACATTCTTTTTTGGTAGTGGGGGATTGAACTCAGGAGCACTCGACCACTGAGCCACATTCCCAGCCCTATTTTGTATTTTATTTAGAGACAGAGCCTGACTAAGTTGCTTGGCACCTTGCTTTTGCTGAGGCTGGCTTTAAACTTTCCATCCTCCTGCCTCAGCCTCCCAAGCTGCTGGGATTATAGGCGTGTGCCACCACACCTGGCCCATATCTAGCTATGTTAACTATTAAGATTTCCCCTAGTTAACTACATGTTAGCTATAATTCAAGCATTTTAGAAGTGCTTAAAGTACAAGTTATGAGCAGTACATTTCTAATCTTAATGCCATAAAGACTTCTGGTAATAAAATTATTGGAATCCTTCTATTGGTCTGTGTGTAATTTACATAAGTGTACAGTGAGATATTTTTGGACATTCTGTTAGTGAATAACACTGAATACAAAACAACCATTCCTAGAGAGTGTTCTCTTTGACGAACATCAGCATTGAAGTGTCCCTGTGAGAGTGATTGCAATCAGAAATGGAATTTGCCAATTTACCTAACAATAAAAAAATTTTAAGGTCGGTTCCTAATGAAAAGCACAGAAATGGAAATCGTTTTTGGTGTTCCCCCAGCAGAAAGCAAGAACACAGGTGATCTTTCTCCAGGCATTCCTGTTAGGAATGGCAGATGTATGAGAAGGAGCAGACAAAGATGAGAGGTTACTGTCACAAGGGCAATTAGAAAGATAGATTAAAGGTGGAGATTTTAGTTCTTCCAATGAACATGATTTGTAAAACCCAATTTAACTCTGTTTTTTTTTTTTTTTTTGCTGTATTCCCTAAGTGTAGAATAGTCAGTACTCTAGGTGAGCAGTAGATCCAAAAAGATATTATTCCTATTGCTCTTACTATAAATCACAATGATGTTTAGAATCAGAAAATATGTGGAACATATTTAATAAATTACTTGGAATGAATTTTTAAAATAAAGGACATATTAATTATTTCAGGTTTAGAAATCTATAGGGAAAACAACAAAATATCTGGAATTGGTTATTAAAATATATCTTAGAAATGATGATGTTATAACCCTTATATATCTTGATCCTTCCAGGCAATGCCGATCCTGAAGGCCAAGGTTACTGCCAAGCAGGATTTAGTCTGGAATTTTATAAGGTAAATTTTTTTGGTCTTGCAGTCTCTAATATTTCATGTGGTTTGTTGCTGTTTAACCCTCTTTCCCTCCCATGCCCCTCAACAATAGCAACAACCAATGAACCTTTAGGTACCTATGTATTCATGTCTGGCAATATAAGATTATTTTTCCATTTACTCTTTATTTGTGTTAAGGAATCTATGCACATAACAATTTACTGATAAAACCACATATAATGACATATGTATAGGAATACCAGGAAAAGCAATCATCTTCTTTCCTATTCCCTGTAGCAATTGTTTTTAAATGAAAATCTCAAAAACTCAGGGAAAAATATATTTCTAAAATGATCAGAAGAATCTATAAATTATTTAATCTCTTAGCTGGGACTGATTGATTTGGTTAAATATGAAAATTCACATATCCTTTTACAAAATTAAAAATACAGATGTCTAGTACTAGTACTTGAGGACAGACATTCTAGGGTTTTGAAATAGAAATACAGTAGAAATTTTTCCTCAACATATATTGTTTGACTGTCTGTTCATTGTATTTTCTGTCAAGACTTTGTTGTTTTGTATTAATTTTTCCCCCACTGGGATTTACAGATTTAGGGTACCAAAAGTGGGACTGTATGCAGTTGAAAATATATTTATATTTTTTAGTCTGGAGAGTTTTCTTTCTTTCCTGAGAAGGGGTTAGGCTTGCAGATATATGAGAAAATAAAGCAGGCATTACTGTGGCCTTGAAAAAAAATCAGGACATAATTTTCCTTTTATTATCAAGGCTTTTCCAAAGACCATGCCTGCTAAATCGTACAGCATTAAACAGGCAGATGTTTTGTTTACCAGAGGCAGTGCCAAAAAACTGAATTTATATATTCTCAAGGGAGGAAGTTCAACTTATCTGAGTCATATTACCACTCTTTAATCACATACTAAATATTGAAAGGAAATTAAAAGAGGAAAGAAAATGACCTGCAGGCCTCTGATACAAGGACCTCTTTGAAAAATCGTTTTTTAATGAGAACAAATTGTTAGAGCAGTGCTTATTAGCAAAGATTTATGGCTCTGAAAGTTTCTCAGTGTTTCTTTTCCAATTGTTGTTCCTGTTGCTGCTTCTGTTTTGTAGAATGGAGACCTCATTGTAGGAGGACCTGGAAGTTTTTACTGGCAAGGTATGTTCTGTTAGCAGAGGAGAAAAGCACATTTGTTGCTACTAATAAGGAGTCAAATGTTGACTTTTTATTACATTAATATTTTATCCTTAGTCATAGTTTCTTGATTAAAGCATCGTTTCAATTTGTACTCTTATATAGAAATGCTATTTTAAAAAATTCTTGCAACTTAAGAATTAATTTCTTCCCCAAGAATTTATTGAAGCTGTGCCAGGTTTTGTGTTAGATGCTAGGAATATAATAATGGGTGAAAACAGATATGGTTTTACCTTCACATAACTGGGGAAAGATACAGGCATCAATTGAATAGTAACATGAGTACCTAAGAAACTCTGATCATGATACACATGAAGAAGTAAAGTAATGTCATACTGGGGCCAAAAAATGAGGAGGCTTTTCCAGGGTGGCTGCAAATAGGTGAGCTTTGTATTCTGATCACTGGATGACAGGGAGCTGGAATACAGATTGTAATCTACTTAAGGGCCACCAACTCAGGTGCAACCCAGCATGTACCTAAATAGGATGACTTCCTCTAATTCTTTTTTTTTTTTGGTACTGGGTATTAAACCTAGGGGTGCCTAACCACTGTACCACATCCCCATTTCTTTTTATTTTTTAGTTTGAGACAAGATCTCACTAAATTTCTTAGGCCCTCACTAGGTTACTAATTAGGATTTTTAAAAGGACAGTAGGAGCTGTGTATGGAGTGGCAGGCCAAGGTAAACAGCATTGTCACTGTCCTACAAACAAGACTCCACTGGTGGATTTAAAGAGTGTAAATGGATGGGTTCAGCTGGAGTAGGAAGGTGATATTTGTCCTCAGAACAATGGGAAAGTGCTGGGGAAGTTCATGGCATACTATTATCAAATTCCCGTTTTAACACCATCACGATGGCAGTGATCTGGAAAGCTGATTGGAAGTTGGCCGAAGTGAAATATTAGCAAACTAGTCATAAGGTTGTTACAAATTTATAAGCTAATTAAAAGTTTTTAAAGTCAACTAGCTATAGGTTTCAGGTAAACATGTTTGCTCCTTAAGAATAGAGATATACAGATTGAAAAGGAGGAAAAATTTGCCAGGCATGGTTATGCACACCTGAAATCAGGAAGCTAAGGCAGGAGGATGGCACGTTTAAGGCCTGCCTCAGCAACTTAGTGAGGCCCTTAGCAACTTAATGAGACAGTGTCTCAAAATTAAAAAAATAAAATAAAAAGGGCTGGAGATGTGGTTCTGTGGTTGAATGCCCCTGAGTTCAAATGTTACAAAAAAAAAAAAAAGGAAAGAAAAATGCACGTCAAGAATATGTTACTGACTTAAATCATTTGGGTACCACTCACTGAGTTAGAGAACAATGGAGAAAACAGATTTAGAATGAGTTGGAAAGAGAAGGTGTTGAGGTTGCTTTTGGTTATGTTTTTTTTTTTTTATTGGTTGTTCAAAACATTACATAACTCATGAAATATCATCTTTCATACATTTGATTCAAGTGGGTTATGAACTCCCATTTTTACCCTAAATACAAGTTGCAGAATCACATCGGTTACACATCCACATTTTTCCATAATGCCATATTAGTGACTGTTGTATTCTGCTACCTTTCCTATCCCCTACTATCCCCCCTCCCCTTCCCTCCCCTCTTCCCTCTCTACCCCATCAGCTATTGTTCAATTCTCTCCCTTGTTTTTTTTTCCCCTTTCCCCTCACCATCTCTTATATGTAATTATGTGTAACAATGAGGGTCTCCTTCCATTTTCATACAGTTTCCCTTCTCTCTCCCTTTCCCTCCCACCACTCGTCTCTGTTTAATGTTAGTCTTTTCCTCATGCTCTTCCTCCCTGCTCTGTTCTTAGTTGCTCTCCTTATATCAAAGAAGACATTTGGCATTTGTTTTTTAAGGATTGGCTAGCTTCACTTAGCATAATCTGCTCTAATGCCATCCATTTCCCGGCAAATTCCATGATTTTGTCGTTTTTTAGTGCTGCATAATACTCCATTGTGTATAAATGCCACATTTTTTTTATCCATTCATCTATTAAAGGGCATCTAGGTTGATTCCAGAGTCTAGCTATTGTGAATTGTGCTGCTATGATCATTGATGTGGCAGTATCCCTATAATGTGTTCTTTTAAGGTCCTCAGGGAATAGTCCGAGAAGGGCGATAGCTAGGTCAAATAGTGGTTCCATTCCCAGCTTTCCCATGAATCTCCATACTGCTTTCCATATTGGCCGCACCAATTTGCAGTATGTTGACTATAGAAATGTTGGGCTGTCCAAGAGTTTTTCAATTAAGAATTTAGGTATCAAGGCTTAAGTTCTAGGAAGATGAATTTATGATAAAAATTTATATAAAATTACTCTTAAGCTTAATTCATACACATTAATTATGAATATCAAATAATTGACATCTTGGTCTTTAAAGATTATTTTGCAAACTGAAAAACATATTTTGCAAGAGAGGGACATAAAATAAAATTTATGTTTATTTTTAAAAGATTGTCTTCTAATTCACTTGGTTAATTTTGCATAATCCATTCCTCTGTCTAAATTGGGAAAAATGTTTGATACAAATGATTTGCTATAAATTAGCTCTGGCAAGGGCATATAGAAGCATTTGTCTGAGATATAGAATTTAAAAATTTATACCAGTTTAAGATTATGTTTATAGACCCAGCTGAAGAAAAAAAGCAAAGGCAGTATGTATGTGGGAGGGAAAGAAGTTTATAGAGCTTTAATTAAAAGAAAATTGGCAAATTCTACAGATATTGTTCAAAAATTCACGTGTAAACACCATTGTCGAATATTAGAACAGTCATTTCGGTCCCAGTGACTTGGAAATATTTATGACGTGGTTTGATAGTTTTATTCTTTCTCCCCCTCTCCTTTTTTTTGGGGGGGTTGAACTTCAAACAGAAAAATTGTGGGAATTTTATGTGTGAGTTTCTCAAGAACAATTTGGCTTCAAAATTGATGTTAAATATTAGTCTTTTGAAAGCATTCCTCCAGTTTCCTTCCAAGGAGCTCATAAGTACACTTCTGCCCTAGATGTCCATAAAAGATGTGGAATGCAAAGCAACTATAGTGGAAAATTACTATCTTTTAGATAATCATGTACTCCAATACAACCATATTTCAAGACTTTCAAGTGTGACTTTATTTGGAAGAGATTAGCAAAACTTCTTATCAATATTTGTGGCCATGGGTTCCTTTATTGCTAAATTTCTGGATCTCACTGAACCTAGCTCCTTCCTACTGTCATAATTTTATTCTCAATATATTTTAGCATAAAAAGTAAATGACTCACTGATCATATTATTTCTTCCTTTAACTTAACTGATATGTTTACAATCTATTGAATCTTACTTATACTCAATCTAAATTATTTATTTAGATTTACTGTACATCTATACTTTGCAAGATTACAAAATTTTATTAAAATGACAAAGGAGACCTTGGTTGTCATGTCAGATATCCTTCTAGCAAAATCATGTGACCTTAGAGAATGCATTCAAGTGCTCTGAGCCTCATCTTCCCCTTTTCTAAGAAGCTATATAAGGCTAGATGATTTCAAAGTTTCCTTCTAGCTAAAATATTCTAGAATAAGAAATTTAATTATATAAATTGAAGGCAAAGGGAGTATGTATGCTGGAAGCAACAGGAAGACATAAAATGTTCATGTCTGGTCTTCTGTGCAGCTATAATCAACTCTACCTTTCAGTTCTAGTGGCAGGTGGGAAAATTTATCATCAAGAATGCAAGTAATTCCATGGTAACTTTCTTTTTTTTTAATTATTAGTTGTTCAAAACATTACAAAGCTCTTGACATATCATATTTCATACATTTGATTCAAGTGGGTTATGAACTCCATGGTAACTTTCTGGGTCTGCTGAGGGCCTGCCTCTTGCATTCATTCAGTTAACATATTCATTTGTCTAAAAACAGGTCAAGTGATCACCGCCAGTATTGCAGACATTATTGCAAATTACTCATTCAAGGATATTCTGAGGAAACTGTCTGGAGAAAAGCAGACCGAAGTGGCTCCAGCTTCCTACGATGATAGTTACCTTGGTGAGATCCACTGCTCAAGACATTTTTTTCTTGAAAGAAAAGCAGATTAAATATAGATGTTTATTTGATTCCATACTTACTTGATGTCATTTGTCATCTTCTATAAGTTTCCTTTCCTTATTAGAATAGATGCTTAGCTCTTCTCTTTAAATACAACTACTTTTTTTTTTAGTCATGTTGTATACTTGCATAACTTGAGAAGCTATTTTGTTTGTTTTTGAGCATCTCTTCTGTAGGATCCATAACAATCTTTTGCATATAAAATACTTTGCTGATAGCAGACACCATGTATTTGCAGGGCTGCTACCAATGTTACAGGGGCAACAATGGTTGCTGAGCCACTGTCCAGATCAGCAACAAGAGACTTTCCAGCTGCTCGAATATTCTCACACTTTATCATATGAAAACCACACAATATCATTTCATCACTACTCTTTCCTACCTTTGGTATCCCAGTGGTATTTTATTTGCTTGATAAATTTGAAAAAAAAATTTAAATGGTAGTTATGTTTTGTAGGAACAGCTAGCACCTCCTCTTGGAGCTAAGTGAAATTTCTGAAAAGTAATTACTAAAGGAATTAGGAAGCATGCTTTGTTAATGATCAAAAGTAGCAAAACTTGACAAAAAGGTTATCTTTAAGAGTATCTGCCTAATCATGATGAATCAGCAGCTCTTAAAATGTAACAGCTGCCACTTACACATACAGATTGATTATGAAGTGTTCATGTTTTGAACATTGACCTCAGAATCTGATTTTTTTTTTGCCAGTTTCTACATAATGTTGGTAGTAACAACTATTGTGTATCTAGGACTTAGTATGAAAGTATTCATAGTAGTGAGATTACTTTTCCTCTTTATTGAACCACGGGCTTTTATTTCATAATGTTCATAAAGATTTCTAAATAAAGGAGTACTGTCATTTTTTTTCATTTCTTTCTAGATATATCTCATTTTTTTCATTTCTTTCTAGATACATCTCATTTTTTTCATTTCTTTTTAGATATATCTCATTTAATCTGATTACAGTTTGTTTCTTTTTTAAAACAGGATACTCAGTTGCTGCTGGGGAATTCACTGGAGACTCTCAGCAAGGTGAGAGACATCATTGAACTTAAGTCATTTTAAAAGCATGACAAATAGGTAAACTGGCATTAAAAGTCCTTTTGTAAATATGTTTTCTTTGCTAAATACAATATATATAAATAGAATCCCAAATACATATGATAATATTTTTGCAGAAAATATATACATATTTGGTGCAGCATTTTCCATCGCAACAAATTTAATAGGAATTGATATAAACCTTAAGAAATAAAAATTAGGGCAGTCATCCTATGTTATGAATGAAAAACGTACAGAAGGTTAAATGAATTAGACAATAGCCATGCCGTTAGCAACAGACGAAATTTGAGAAACTAAGATCCCTCTTTTAAATTTAACTTCTAAGATCTCATGTAGTATATGTCCAAAACTACACTCCCCACCTGACTCCTATGCCTCATGCCAACATTACTTCTCTCTTTCCCTTTGGACATGTGCAGTCCCAAAATAACAGCACAAACTAATGCCTGTTCTCGTGTATGACAAGCGTTCGCCTGCCTTCTATCCTTTCCTTTCCTTTGGCTGTTGTGTCTGTTTTCAGTCCTCTCAGTCTGTATCCATCCCCACCTTCCAGTGGCCAAGTGCTTTTATTTATTTATCTTTTTAGGTCAATTTTAAATGTCATCTTCTCCAGAAATCCTTACTTAGCCTCCTTCTGTAAACTCCTATGTCATCTTCCTTTTCTCTCTCCTGTGGGATTTGCCATTCATTAGTCAAACGTGTGTGTGTGTGTGTGTGTGTGTAAAGTGTGGAGCATGCAGAGGTGAACAAATGGCCCTTAATCTCAGAGTCTGATAGATACTAATGAACAAAGAATACCTAATTTGAAATTGTGCTAAGTACCATGATAAAGGCCAATCTTTGCATTCTAAAGTGTGTAAAAAAATGGAGTTTTCAAGGAATTCATTTTGACTGGCTGGACTTTGATACGAATAATGAAATAAGATTGGTTTAGAGAAAAGGGACTGGCCCAGATCATGTTGGGTCTTGTAGGTCATGGAAATGATCCTAGAACTTATGCAAAAAACAGGGGAGAAGCCACGAAAGGTTTAAGTAGAGTAATAATTATTATCCAATTATACTTGTGATTTGAAAAACAAAACAAAAAGAAAGGAAAGGAGATTAACCACAAAGGCTGTAAGGCTGTTTCGTGTGTCTCCTTGAAGGCAAAATTCATATATATATATATATATATATATATATATTTTTTTTTTTTTTTTTTTTTTTTTTTTAACTGGGGATTGAACCCAGGGGCACTTTACCACTGGGCTACATCCCAGTCCTTTTTATTTTTTATTTTGAGACAGGGTCTTACTAAGTTGCTAGTTGTTGAGGCTGGCCTCAAACTCACAATCCTCCTGCCTCGGTCTCCCAAGTCACTGGAATTGCAGGCATGTACCATTTTGCCCAACATGATTTTCTTTTTCTTTTTTCTTTCTCCATGGCATTTGAGCACTTGTTGAAAAAGCTGTCTAAAATAGTACTCTGACCCAAGGAAATTAGTGATGCTGCACATCAACAGTTTCTCAAGAAAGATGGCAGAAAATAAATAGTGATTTTCCATTGGATCTCAGGAATATCTAGAAAATGTATCCAAATTTTGAGGATATCTGAAATAAAAAGTTCTCTGAAACCATACCGCAATCAGTTCACTAGGTCATTATGAATCCAAGGCTGTCCATGTTCACTGTTTACTTAATTAGACACCAGGGACTTAGAATGCCATGAAAAAGGATTTGATGTCCTTTACATGAAGGGTTCTTAATATGGAATCTCTGGACTGTTGAGTGGTCCACAGATAGGCTTCACTAGTTTTGAGCTCTTAGATATTTTATATATATATATATATATATATATATATATATATATATATATATATATATAAAATATAACATATTATATATATCATATATATTTATGTATGACATATATATCATATATAAAATTTATATAAATATATATATGTAAATATATATTTATAAAAATCTCAAGGTTTCCATGTATGTGAATTTTTCTGTTGAGAGGATGCATAAGTTTCTTTCCACTTCAAATGTGTTCATGACTCAAAAAATACTAAGAGCCTGTGATCTCATTTTGGAATCAGCTGTGGTGGACTTAAGACCCAAGAAAATGATCTGAAGTTGACCCTTATCGGGAAAGTAATGGAATATGGAGAAGGAACATTGACCTGACGGTTCTTGACTTCTACTCAATAACTATGGTCTCCACAGTGACTGAATCTTCCTAAGCCTTGATTTCCCTATATATCAAAATGGGATATTAAATCCCTCCTCTTTAGAGGTTAAGTGGTATAAATATGAAAAATCACATGGTATATTGCTTACTCAAGAGAAGACATTCAATGAAAGTCTCTTTTCTGCTTCTCACTAGACACAAATTTTCAGGTCAAAGACCTAAATTTTTCCTGAACATATTGCTGATATTGAGAAACTTCTGAAGGTTTCACCATGAGTTACTGGAATAGATCTAAGAAATGTCTCCTATTTTCCCTTCCAAGTAAAAATCTGTGTAGTTGATTGACAGTTCTAATTTGCCTTTGGCCCTAAGTAATTAAATTTCCTAATCATTTACAAAAGATTATAAACATCTTTAATCAAAATTTCATTTAATAGCTCCTTAATGGTGTGGTCATGGGAGGTTGCAGATTCCAAAGTTACTGGGTGTCATGATTGATTTGGGGGGAACAAGATTCTAAATGTTTGTGAGATATAAGAAGTAATGGTTGCCCTGCATCTCAAATGACACAATCCCCCTGAATCTGTCTTAGTTGACAGGTCTGACCCTGAAATCAGTCAATTCCATTATATTAGACTGTGGTGGGTTCTCAGTGTCAGGAGGATCTAATTTATATCCCCCCACAAGATGACTGAAAAGTGGACGATATCCTACAAGTGCTAGAAGCTTCCTTGGCCAGAACCGTATCTTGTCCTCCTGTTGCTCTAGGTAGACTATTCACATGCTCTCTCAAGCTAACCCCTCTGCTTTGTCCCTTTTGCTCTTGTCCTCAGAGATGAAATTCCAGCAAGTCTTGCTTTTCTATCTTTCATAGAACCATTTGTCCTTTCTCCTGTGTCATTCTCACTACCATCCAGTCATACTCTTACTTCTCCCATTGAAAACAAAAACATCCACTTGTCCCACTTCCACCTGTGGCTATAGATAACACCTGTATTTCTCTGCTTTGAAAGGATTGTCACTTTTCTCTTCTGGTATTCTCTGTGTGACAGTTCCTCAGTTCCCTTGTCCTAAGCCTTGGCCTCTTGATCTGTGCTGCTTCTGATCTTGTCAGGCAAACTAGGGGCCTCCATGTGTCTGTCTCATCTTCCCTGAACCTCAGGAGCACTGGACAGCTTGGATTCCTCCCTCCTCATCTCTCCACCTGGCTTCCCTCTAGGTCCCTGGCAGCTCTTTCAGTTCCCTCACCTCACTGAGTGACCCAGGAATAAATCCATGGACAGTTTCTACAGAATTTGAGTTCTCTCTGGGTGATCTCGTAGTTTTTATTTCTCCAGCTTAGACTGATTTCCAGGAGCATGGATCCAGCTTCCTACTCCACATCTGTAATAGAGTAGCCATCCCAAATTTGATGTGGTGGTATGGAAGGCCTTCCCTTCCCTCAGAAAGAGGTGCTGCCCTCCACTGTCACACTCCCAGCTGCAACCTAATGGCAGCGCAGTCCTCTAAGTTGCTCAAGTCAAATACCTTGGAAGTCAGCCAAGTGCTCTTTCTCTCACCAGATCCAATCCACAATCAAATCCTGCTAACTGAACCTTCAAAATAGAACCAGAATCAGACCACTTCTTTCATGTCTTTCTTCCTGCGTATTTTCTACTCTGATCCAAGTTTCCATTATCTCACACCTGTATTACTGCAAGAGCATCCTGCCTGGTCTCTCTGCTTCACCCTTGCCCTCCTATAGTCTATCCTAAGTCCAGAAATCAAACCACAATTTCAGAAACATAAGTTAGATCATGTACCTCCTTTTCTCCCAATGAGTTCCCAACTATAACCCAAGTCTTTACAATGACCTAAAAGGCTCTCGTCATTGGCCCCCATCTGGTCTCATCTCCTGCTCCATTACCCCTCACTGGTTCTATTGAAGTCACTGTGGCCTCCTTGCTATTCTTTGAATAAGTCCAAACGCACTTCTACCTGAGGACCTTTGCACTTGATGTTCCTTCTAACGAGGACATACTTCTGCCAGATATCTACAATATTTACTTTTTCCTTTTCTTTGGTCTTTGCTCCAATGTTACCTACTCACTGAGTCTCCCCTGACTACACTAATAAATTGCAATCCCTTCCCCATCCTAACTCCAACACCCCATCTACCAGTTCATCCCTTAGCTTTTCTCTACTACATTTATTTTATTCTGCTATGCCATTTAATTGATTCTAGTTTTTAGGTGACTGCCCTCTCCAACTAGAATATAAGCTCCCAGAGACCAAGTCATTCTGTCTGTTTTATTCACACTATATCCCTACAATCACATGTACATATTTGTCAACTGGATGAATGAGTTTACATATGAAATATCTAATGTCTGATCTAAGTGAATCTTCCCTGGTGATTAATGCTAACACCATACACACCCAACTCTGCTGAAGCACAGAACAGCAGATATACTTAATGCTGCAATGAATATGTGCTGTACCTTTAGGAGCAGTTTTGGAGGATGGGTAGCAATTTGGATAGAATAGGAATCTATTCCATTGCCTCTTTTCTTTAAATTATACTAAATTTTAAACCCTAATATAAAAGATGGTTTAGATTTATATAAATGAGAGATAGAAATAATAATAATTATCATTATTATTATTTATAATCTAACTCCCATAGATTGTAGGTAATTGTGGAAAACTAAGTTCAATGATTCAACTCAGGTATATGGCGGACCCATGACTGCAACCACTGTTTTCTGAACCTACAGCCAGGCCTCTGTGCACTGGAATATACTGCCCCCTCCTCAGAGTTGTCTGCTGTACCATCAATGCTTCCTCCCTGAGATGTGCTTAGCTACCTTGTTGCCCAAAGGCTGCTGCCAACATTCCCAAGAGGAAGTAAAATTAAATTAGCATCTAATTTATGATATGTGTTTTTTTCTTAGGTGATCAAACTTTGCATTTAGTTTTAGCATGTTAGTATCATGGGAACTGTACTTCTATACCAGCAAAAAAAAAAAAAAAAGTCCCAAAGTGACTACTGGCAAATTAGAATAAAAGTTTCAACCTAGAAATCACTTGCAGATTTGAAAAGTCTGGCTGATGTTCTAGAAACAGAAGTGCATGCAGAATGTTATGAAAATTCGAAAATCTCAAAGAAAAACTTGCTCTTATGTTTTCTATTGTCTGTAAAGAAACAAAGGTTAATGAAAATGTAATGCAAAAATCTGATTTTGAACTTTTAACACACTACCCCATTTTGAAAATACTGTCATTACCACTTACTTACTATACAGATTTAAATATACGTGGAATTTTCCTTCAAAATTTCTATTTTATCCCCAGAATTGGTTGCAGGAGTTCCAAGAGGAGCACAGAATTTTGGATATGTGAGTACTTGACAATGCATTCTAGAATATTTCTTGTTTATGAAAAGAAATGTTTTCTTGCAATATATTTTTAAGTCTTCAAAATTTTTCTTCAATAATGAGTGCCTCCTATTGATTCATGTTGTTTGCTTACTAAAATAGGAAGGAAAACAAATGAGGCTAAATTTGATCAGATCCACGTGCAGGAGAAGCTTCATGATTTGTGGGACCTAGTATAAAATGAAAATGTGGGGCAATTTTTTTTTTTTTGCAAATAGCCACAATTATCAAAGATTTTTGAATTGTTAAAAATTTCAGGGCAGCAACAACAAAGCATTAAACTAAGGTTGGATCTGGTGGCACCCAGGGCCTTATGTGACTACATAGGCCACACACCCAGGAAGCTAACCCTATCTGTGTGCACAATTGAGGAATGTTGTAAAGGCTTCCATTGCTACAATCAGCACTTTAATGTGTCTCATACAGTAGAAATAATAAATCAACAGTGATTTCACTAGGACATTAGTTTGCTAAGTTCTGAGTTCTTAGAGTAGCATAAGAACAGAAATAGATTTAGACAAAAATCCTGATTAATAAGTTATCTGACTATCAGTTTACCTATTCTCAGTGGTCTTGAATTCAACTATTATTTCCCCACTTACTTCAGTAAGCATGCATATTCTGAAAATATTCTGGAGTTAACTACAGACAAAAAGTTTATTTGGATTTTTCCTTTAGGTCATTCTCGGGGACTTGCAGTTTTGTTTTATATATAGCTAACTCTTATTACTTATTAAAGCTTATTAGTCTTCACAAAAAAATAAATTATTTTTAAGTTGCATTTTTTTAAAAAAACAATTTCTTTAGCTTTATGTCAAATGATCTATCTAATTTCTCTGATTTTAGGTGTCAATCATTAATTCTACAGATATGACCTTTATCCAGAATTTCACTGGTGAACAGGTAAAGATATTTTAATATGAAATCATAGTATCACTCAGTGCTAATATACTTTAATACTTACATCATTTATTCATTCACTCAAAAAATATTTAATGAGCATCCGATATATGTCAGAAACTGATCCGGGCACTGGAGATACAACAGTGCAGCTGAAAGATGAACCCACCTCTCCTGCAGCTGTGTGTGGGGTACAGCAGGATGGAAGAGTTAATTTGCAATCAAATAAAATGTTCATGATAATTTCTGATAGTGATCAGTGATATAAAGAAAATAAATAGCTAGATAATTAAGGTGTGGTAAAGGATCTCTTAGGGTGGTCAGGGGATCCTCTGGGGGCAACATCTAATGCAGAGCTAATAACAGCTAATACTAAGACACTCAAACATCTGACATGTCTGAGAAGCACAGAAAAATCTCCAGTATCTATACACAAGAGAGACAGAAATAAAAGCCAAAGATAAAGAGGGGCAGGGACCTACCCCATGAGCTTTGTGAGGAATCCCCTAGTTTCAACTTATTTTTTAATAAATTCACATTTGAAATTAAGTGCATGCTTTTAATCTGACATGAACAGCCTGTATTAAGCTCTTGTCTTTCAAGATGACATAAAGATAAAGCCCTTTAGAATATCTCTTCCTTGAGGTGGCAAAGAGAGAATCCCATGTTCCACTTAGGATAATCTCTTAGTCACTTTATGTTGCAATTAAAAATGAGTTAATTGAGGCTATGCTAGAATGGACCAGGGTCTTAATGAAGTAACTAAGTAATTACTAGTAATAAGTGGTTGCACAGGTAGAGCTGGCACTGCATGTTGGGAAGTAGTTGTATCTACGGGTCCTCAATAACATCGAGGAGAAAAGCTCCCACAGACAGTGTGAGGGTGTGTATGTGTGCATGTGTGTGCTTGTGTGCTTGTGTGTGTCGGAGAGAATAAGCTAAACACCTAAGAACCCAGTAATTCAGGACAAGAGATTGCAATATTAAGAAATGCAAGTAAGATTTCTTCTGTTTTCTGAAGATATTGTCAGGGCTCTAGGAAAGAAAGAATCCTAGAAGAGCAAGCTAGAACATGTCCTGGTGTGTAGGACTCTCAGAGATTCTCCATGCTAGCCACTGAGCCAGGCTTGCCCAGCAAGGCAGACTACCCTCCTTAAAAGAAAAACCCCACTACCTGCCAGGATCCAAAACGGTCTTGGTATATTGCCAGTGATGTTTAGTGTACCTGGTGGTGAGCTCTCAGTACCTCCTTCCCTTTGAGAAGACAGTGGCAACTCTGAGGTCTCATCTTCTTGGTCACTGCCAATGGGCCTGGACTTCTGCTGCTCTTGTTTCCTGTAACTGGAACCCTCTCCTGAGCCTCAGTAGTATATGGGGTCTTGAGAGCCCTTTCCTCCCAGAGACTACCATTGCTCCTTTCCCACTGTCATTTCCTGAGGTCCTACTGTGAATGGGTCAATTCCTGAAGACAGGATGCTACCACCCTCTTGACCAAATATGGTCGAGGCCACAATTTATCTCCCACCCTTCATGTTCCTGGGTATTGTGACTGGTGAAATTTGCCACATTTCTTCAAGCACTGAATTGGGTACTGCTGTCTGAGAGGCATGTCAAGAAAATTGATTAGCAGGTTTTTAAATGAGCAGAAAATGATTTTGACATCTTGTTGCCAAAATGTGGGGAGTCAGTCCACCTGTTACTCTGAAATTTTCCACAAAGCAGTTCACATTTCTCATGATACTCTTTCGGAAGTTATGGAGGAAGGAGGCAGGAATGGCAGTGAAGTTGGATGGGTCTGTAAATTTTGAACAACTATAACTAAGGGCATTTGACCAATGTGTGCTGAGTGCATGTATGGTGATATCACACAGAATCCCACGTTTCAAAAGAGAAAATGCAGAAAGTGTTCTTTAACTAGATCTCTTTTTACATGTTTATCATTAGAAGCATTTTAACATTGCTAAATTTAGTCCTTCTGTAACTTCTCATCTTCAATACCACCTAGTTTGATAATCTTAAACCTCAGAACTTAATGCATACATGATGAAATTTCTCTGAGCAAAGGCTGCACACATCACACAAGGTATAAGATTTGCACTGTTTATGTTTGGAATAAAGAAAAGAAAATGAGAACTGAGATCATGGGATACTTGGTAACTTTCGTGTTCTCTCCCTCAGCAAAGAGATTTTGGTACCTGGTGCCTATTTTGGTCCAAACATTGCTTAAGTAGAAGAGAGAACTAAACTGATCATTCTCTGCCTTCCATGGACATACACTCTAGAAGTTGATTAGCTTAGCAGATGGCAGGAGGCTAAATCAATTGAAACTTCAGATGGCAGACCATGGAAACTACATTGACAATCTGGAATGATCAGCCATATCTGAAAAGACTATATAACTCCTGACAACCTAGATTGAACAATAAAATATCAGAGGGAAAACACAGGGAGATTATGGTACCCCACTTACACTTGTAGAAAAGATTCAGGAGCTTTCATTGAATATGAGCTCATCATAAAATTGATACTGAGATGTAGGTTCCCCCCAAATTAAAACTGCCCTTATGCTTTAATAATATACAGGGGCCAAAGTAGAGATTAGCAATCCCACTTAACTCTTCTGTTACTGTTCTCATAAGAATCATCCATTCTTTGTTTCCACATGTGGCATCTCTAAGAAAGAGGGGCTGCATGGTGATCCATCTGAAAACATTTGCATACGAGGCTTCATATGGAGGTGGAATTGGATTTGTTCTGTGGGATTCAAGATTATAGAACTAGGTGGGATTAAAGACTAGAAGTTATGAAAGGTTGCATGAAGCACAGAACATTCTAATCATTGTGTTCACAGATTGAATGGGCTGATTGTGAAGCCTAACCAGAGGAGGATGTCCAAGCAGATGTCAGGGTTATTATGGGGAAAATTATTCATCGGGTCAGAGTGAGACTAAATGACTCCGACAGTCAGTCCACATCCAAGGATTTAAGTGCAAAAATGTATCAAGATAAGATGCATCATTCAGGAGTAATTAAGAGGTGACTATAAAAATGACTTTTTGAACACAAAATATGTCACTTTTGATCTTTTTTTTTTTTTTTTTGCAGATGGCATCTTATTTTGGTTATAGTGTTGTTGTATCGGATGTTAACAATGATGGGTAAGTTTATAAGAACCCCCCTCACACTCTATATACCATGGTCATCCATAAAGATGGGATATTTTTTATTCCTGAAGTATATCCTTCTGTACTTCCTCAAAAACATAGAGGCTCCCTTGTTTGAACTTTTTTTTCTGATTCAGGACAAGAGGATGTATCTAATAAAGAATTCTGTCATCCTATTTTATGTCTTTACTGAGATTTTCCACATCTGCCACTTCTAAAAGGGGACTACTTTATTTGGTTTTATTTTTAATTTTATGAAGTGAATAATCCTTGGCCACTCAAAATCCACATCCATTGAGGAATTTGTTCATCTTCTCTTCGGTCTTAAGAATTTTCCCCCTAGAACGTGATGCAGTCATAACACATTTGCACAAAAATGAACTTTTTTCCTCCTGACATTGCTTTAACCAACTATTAGCAACATCCATGGGGGAGATGAAATAATAATAATGTTATTTTTCTGATGAGGATAGTAATTACAGTCAAGCTTCGACCAAACAGCACTATTGCATTATGGTTGCTGTGACATCATTACTTCAAAAATAAATGATTATTAAACACCCCTTTATTCACTATAAATTCATAGATCATTAATAAGATCTTTAAGTTGAGATGTACTGAGTATCCACCCAATAGATACTTTGCTTGTTGTCCCACACATTGTTCTCAATGCCCAGAACACTGTACAAAGTTGAAGAAATTAGTCTGGCTCTCTGTTCTCAGGGAGCTCACAGTTTGGCAGAAAGGAAATATCTGAAAACTCCTATCACATTCCAGAATCTGGACCAAGTTCTTTAAATAGATTTTTGATAGACATTTTCCTGTGACCTTTGTACAGCTAGAAATGTACTTTCTATATTTTGTTGTGGCATATGATCGGAGTTCATTAACTTGTATACCTCTTGGAAAATATCCCTTTATTATCCTTTCATTGAACATTTATTTCTTGAGACTCTATTATGCCCTGGTTCTGGGTGCAGAATGTAAAAACTTCATGAAATTATGCTAGAGTTGGAAAAGTGGGAGCCACACAGGAAAAAAAAAATAAGTCAAATACAGAGAGTAATAGATGGTGATAAGAACTCTGTAGAAAAAGCCCCAAACGCAAGGACTGAAAGCAACCAAGATGTCCTTCAGTAGGTGGGTGAATAAATAAGCTGTGATACATCCAGACAATGAGATTTTATTCAGCTCTAGAAAGAAATGAGCTATCAAGTCAGAAAATGACATGGAAGAACCCTAAGTGCATATTCCTAAGTGAAAGAAGTCAATGTATAGAGGCTACATGCTGTATCATTCTAATTGTATGACATTCTGGAAAAAAAAGAAAACCTACAGAAACAATAAAAGATCAGTGTTTGCCAGGAGTTTGGGGGAAGGCAGGAAGGGATGCATAGGTGGGGCACAGGATTTTAAGGGTACTGAAACTATCATAAAAGATACTGTCACTATGCACTTGTTAAATCCCAAAGTATGCACTACAGCTGTGGTTGATAATGGTGCGGGAGGGTCAGGTCACTGATGGTAACAAAGGCACCACTCTCGTGGGGGATGAGGGTGGGAAAGGCTATTACAGGAGAATGAGTAATGTGAGAACTCTGTACTTTCTGCTCAGTTTTATTTGACTCTAAAGCTACTCTATAAGATAAGGTTTATGAATTAAATTTTAAAAGAAAACAGAAAGGAGTGCTAGGGGACTTTTTTTCTTTTATCTTTTTTATTTTGATTCTTTGGTGGTGCTGGGAATGCTAGGCAAGTTCTCTCCCACTAAGCCACATCCCCAGTCCCATGGATGTAGTTATTTTTCTTATGCAATCCTTTTTTTAATTGATTCTTTGTGGTTATATATAACATTAGAATTCATCTTGATAAAATCACAAAAGTGTGGAATGTAATTTGCTTTACTTGAGTCCCCAGCACTTCCTCCTTCCTCCCCCTCCTTTCTCCCACACCTCTATTTCTGCAATTTATTTATAGGTATTTTTAAAATCAGTGTCCTGAGGATATGTTTGGTGTTGAGACTCACTGTGGTATGTTCATGGATATTCTTGTGGAATTTGGTCAGATTCACTCCACTGTTCTTCCCTTATCCTGTCTCTCCCTCCTCCCCCCAACCACCTGCTCTACTTTACTGATCTTTCCTCTAGTTTGATGCAATTCCCTCTCCCTTTTTTTCCCTTTTGTCTGTCTCTCTTTTTATCCCCTTCCCTTATTTTGGATTAACTTCCACATATCAGAGAAAACCTTCACCTTTGACTTCTGGGGACTGGGTTGTTTTACTTAGCATGATGTTCTCCATTCCCATCCATTCATTGGCAAATGCCATAATTTTATTCTTTTTTAGAACTAAGCAATCTTCCGTTGTGTATCTGTACCACATTTTCTTTATCCATTCTGTTGAAGGGCACCTCCGTTGGTTCCACAGCTTGGCTATGGTGAATTGTGCTGTTATAAACAGTTTTACATGAAGTACATGGAAAAAACCTCAGTGATGATTACAGTGGAGAAAGGACCTAAAGGAGATAAAAAAAAGGAAGCCATTGATGACGTAAAGGGGAGGAGTGTTCCCAGACAAATAGTAAAACTAACAAATTTCTGGAGGTGGGAGCTCCTGGCATATTTGAGGAACAGCAAAGAGTCTCAGAGAGGTAACAAGGGGGAGCCTGATCATAAAGGTGCAGAGGCCACTGCATTCACCACAGATTTACATAGTGCCCCCCAGACTCTGCCATGAACTAGGATGAGTCTGTCTCCAACAGGGACACTGCATCCTGTGAGCCCTGGAGGATTCCAAGGCAGGGAGTGGCCTGCTCAGACTCTGGTTTTCACAGGTGGGTTCTGTCCACCTGGTCAAGTGCCACATGCCAGGGCACATGGGACAGGGTCTTGGACCCATGCTACAGGCATGGAGGGAAACAGAAGTAGTTACACTCTGGATAGATATATTTTGAAGGTCTAGTTCAGTACCAGTTTTCTCCTGGAAGCAGTTTTAACTTAAAATCAAATTCCCTTAATCTCTATTTGTCTGAGTGTAAAGAAAAAGAAAGACTAGATGCACCAGTCAAGAATTCCAACACGGACAGACTGTAACTGTCATGGAAGGCTGTCAATAACTTAGGAAGACAATTGTTGAAGAAGAACTTGAAGCCCAAATGCAGCCTGTTCTTCAGGTTTATTGAACCCACTCTACGGTGAATACAAAACATCAGCGATGGCCTTTCAGATGTGCCTGGATACGTTTCTCTCAACAGAAGAAGGTCCCATGACTACAGGGACTTTTCCCTGTGAATGCTCTGTGGCATTTTATAGGGCACAGATTCATTCCATGTGTGCCTTTCCGGAGGCCGCTCCTGTTTTGAATCCCTGCAAATTTTCCCAGGTTTCACAATATGCCCTGGAGGGTCCTCTTTCTTTCCTGGAAACGTCCTCAATTTAGACTATAGCAAAGTTTTGTGACAATGTTTATAGTAAATATTTTTGCCATGCTAAGAACAACCAATAAAAAAAAAAGAAAAAAAAAGGACAAAAACTCATGAGAAAAGGACTTCACTGGCTTCCTGCTGATCGAAACAACATGATAATAACAACAGAGGAATTTTCAAGTGATAAATTTGTTCTTTCTTGATGTCCCTATAAAAACTGCTGTGCACACGACTTCTCTTTTTTATTAGGTAACATATTCCAAATTCTTCAGACTGCATGAAAAAATAGGTCCATTAACTTAAGGTTGTCATTCTCAAAAAGGTGAGGTAACCAAAGGTGCTAATAACTTAATATTGCCATTCTCAAAAGTAAAGTGACCAAAGGGGATAATAACTTGCTGTTTGTAATTACTCAGATATCTCAAATTTAAATTCAAGGTCCTATCAGAAATAAATTTATTTTGGAAGCAATTGCAATTGGTCAAAGAAAGATCCCAGATAAAGATAGGTAGCTAAAATGAAATCTGACATGAAAATAATGGTATTGGTAGCATATAAAGACTTAAGAAAATCACTGGGCCAGGTCATTGTTCATGGTTCAGAGGAAGACTCCCTCAAACACACACAGTTATGGGATGGAACCAGACTTTCCATTCTCCAACTGAGAAAATCAAGTATAATTGTACACGAGGCTACCTAGTGAACATCTTCAGGCAGCGTGTATTCCTTATCAACTATGCAACAAAAACAAGGTCCCTACAAATGCTCCAGCATCTCAATATCAGGAAAAAGAAAGTGTCATTAAGTAAAGTAACAAGTAAATGGGTGGAGATTTTCCCCAATATTTTTTACTACAAAATAAATCTTCCAGTATTCTGAGTGGACTCCAAAAATTTAGACCAAACAATTGTGTGCCTGCTGGCTGGGAGATGATACTGTCAAGCCTGTGATGGTTTTGAAAGTACAGTGTAAACAAACTGGCAAAATTAACTTCAGTTTAGTTATCTTACGGCAGCCAGAACTACAACTCTTGTCAATGTAAACTTTGCTAGAAATTTCTAGACAAACTCCTTAGCAACAAGTAGGGATGGTATTTTTCATCCTGTACCCAAGGAAGCAATCTGTTTTGTTTTGGTTTGGTTTGTTTTTTTCCTTGAGGCTTTTGAATCTTACAGCATTTATACTATTTCAGATATTCACAGAATTACAGTTTAAATCATTGGACATTTATTTCCATATGCCTATTGTTTCCAGCCTCTGTGAGGCCAAAAGCAGATAAATTTACATAGATTCATAGTAGTTTGTTAACTGAGAGCAGTTTAGAGAAATCTGTTTGAAAGCAAGAAGCTTTGGGTGGATATGGCTTTATGTTCGATTTAGTACAAGTATGATCATTTGTCCAAGATATGTCATTATGATCGAATTAGGTAAAACATTTAGAAAGTTAAAACATAAAAAGGCAGTAAGTTAAACTAATTTCTATAATGTAATTATGCATAATTCTTATATTTGTTCTTGCCTGTCATAAATCAATTAGATTGATTAGATATCAACTCTATTGTACAGTCTACTGATCTGCATTCTTTTAATGAATAACTACATTCTGAATGTTAGTCATGGAACTTAGCATACAAAAAGAACTACTGGAAAAAAAAAGAAAAAGAAAAGGAAAAGTTTATATATTAACTCAAACCGTTAATAGCAAATGACTGCTGAAAACTTGAATTCAGATTCTTCCTATTGAATATTCTCATTGGTGGGTCTGCTCATACTTTATCATAATATTTGTGCTTTGCTTTTGATGAAAGTGTTCGCAATGTTCTGTATCAAATGACGTGTGAAAGATAAGATGAGTTTCACATGGTATGAGATTATCAGAGTGAACTTAGACATAAAAGTGAGACGAAAATAAAACCTGTATAAAGGCCGCACTGAGTTTGACATTTCCGATAAAATGAAGTTTAAGTACACATCCTACTTTTATGAAATACCTTCACAAAATGACTTAAATCTTGTCCAAACAACGAACATGACCCAGAGGAAATGGTACTTAGCAGAACCACATCATTAATATTCTTTTTGCATCATTGTTTCTTTTAGATTAAAATATATTTTAAAAATCTCCTCTCTCTCTCTCTCTCTCTCTCTCTCTGTGTGTGTATCCTTTTAGAATGGTACCCAGCCCACTATACTCAACTACTTATCAGAAGTTCAACAAAAGTCATCTTTACTAATAAATATTTTAAAACTTTACGCTTGAATTGGGTATATTTAACAAGAGGATGTGGCAATTTTTGAAATAGTTTAATGGCACACATAGTCTACGGTGGTGGTTTTCCAACCATTTTTTGCCTGTGGTTTATAATACATTTGATATTACAAATCAGTACACACACATGCGCACGCGCGCACACACACACACAACTGAAACGAAAGTTTCGCAAGACAATATTATCTTTATTACATATAAGGCATTTACTCTGTCATCTATTATTGTATGCAATTTCATTTTTTAAAATGCTGGCAGAGACCCATTATGCTGATTTCATAACCCACTAATGAGTTGCAAATCAAAGTTTTAAAATGCCAGCCTAAACAATAATATATACCATGATTAAGTGGTATTGCTAATACAATACTAAGTCCAAAACACTCTCTGAGGCACACTGTACCAATTAAATCCAAGACAGTTATTGTGATCAACTCTATGAGAGCATAATCATAAATTAAGAACAAATGCCTCTTTGTCTTCTTGGAGGTTAAGAACATTTTAAGACAGTTAAGTATCTGGGGAAACATATTTCTAAGAAAATAAATCAATGCTTTCATATTACTTCTAAAATCCAAGGATTCCTTGGATGTGCCAGACCTTCACAATGATAGGTCTAATAATGTCCAGTTCTAGAATCTGATGTTCACAGTGAGGAAGGTTTTGAGCCAGTTGTATGAGCCCTGTGTCATGTTTGAACTCTCGGAGACCAATTGTATGGCTTGTTCCTTCTCTACTGAATTAAAACATGACTTTGCTAAATCTGTGCAGTAGGGAACCAGCGACATTGGATCTTACCCTGAGGAAGGAGGCACCCACATAAAACTTAGGTGTGTAACAAATGCCTCTTCATATGGACAGTAACAATGACAGAGACAGGCAACTGAGGCTCCCCCTAAGGAAAGGCCAGGCACTGGAGGAGCACAGATCCCTGCTCTCCTCTCATCTAGCAGGACAGCAAGCAATGTGAGCAAACCTAAAGTTCTGGGTTTACAAGTTGACAGGAAAACTGAGTAAGAAGGACAGAGAGATTCCCTATAGTCCCTCTTCTCCCCCTTCAGTTCCCCATTATTAACATCTTGCATTGACGTGGTCCATTCGTTACCATTGATAAATTTACATTGACATATCAACAAAAGAGCATAGTTAACATTAAGATTCACTCTGTGTTATACGGGTGTTGCCAAATGCCTACCAATGCACAGCCAACATTAGAGTACCATACAGAATTGTTCACTGTCCTCAAAATCTGGTGCTCTTCTTGTCATCTCCGTCCACTCCCTCATCCCTGGCAACCATGCCTCTTACTGGTCCCATAGTTTTGCCTTTCCCTGAATGTTAGCTCTTTGGAATCATAGAGTATGTAGCCTTTTCACATCTGCCTCTTTCACTTAGTAATATGTATTTTCGGTTCCTCCTTATCTTTTCATGCCTTCATCACCCCTTTTTTTAAAATTACTGAATCCTATTACATTGTATGATGTACCAGTTTGTTTATTCATTCACCTACTGAAGAATATCATGGTTGCTTCCAGGTTTTGTCAATTTTGCTTTAAACATATGTGTGCAGGTTTCTGTGTGGACATACTTTTTTTTTAAAGATTTTTTTAATATTTATTTTTTAGTTATAGGTAGACACAATATCTTTATTTTATTTTTATGTGGTGCTGAGGATTGAACCCGGTGCCTCACGCGTGGTAGGCGAGTGCTGTACCTCTGAGCCACAACCCCAGCCCGTGTGTGGACATACTTTTTAAACTCATTTGGGCAACTACCATGGAACATAAACGTCAGATCACATGGTAAGGCTATATTTAGCTCTGTAAGAAACCTAGACTGCCTCCCAAAGGAGCGTCTCACTTTGCATTCCCACCCACCAGCAATGACTGAGAGTTCTTATTGTTCCACGTCCTTGCCAACATTTGGTGGTGTCAGCAGTCTGGACTCTAGCCATCCAAGGAGATTTGTAATGGTATCTTATTGTTTTAATTTGCAATTCCTAATGATATATGATGCTGAGCATACTTTCATATACTTGTTTGCCATCTATATCTTCTTTGATGAGGTATCTATTCAGATCTTTTGTCCAATTTTTCTTTGTTTTTTTTTCTTGTTTTTATTATATATTATAGATACATAATATAAATTATAAAAATAGCATATAGTATAATGTAGTGTTGTATATCATAATAGGATAGCTAATATATTTTGGGGAGATATTATTCTTAGCTCACATTATTGAGTTCTAAGAATTCTTTGTATGTTTTACTTTTCCAATCAAATGTGTTGGAATCCTCCTAGCATGGAGCCACCATGACACACCCCCCCAGGGTGCCTTGACCTCATTTAGGACAACACTACCCTCTGGAAAGCTCACCTCCAGGCCTGCCTGTCAGAATCGTACCCAAGGCACATGCCATCTCCTCCAGGGCACCTTCCTTAATTCCCTCCAAGCATACAACCTCTGCCCTGTCTGTGATTCCAACATTAACTTGGATCCCCCATATTACTTTTCCTAGCCTGCCTTGTTTTCTTATATAATATATGGGTAACAATTTAACCTCAGTTGTAAATTAATCAGGGACCTAATTAGCTCATCTACCAGTCATCATTGTATTCTTTCAATAACTTATCATAGGATCTTTAGAGTATCTAGTAGGAACTAGCAGGAACACAGGATGCCTGTGACTTAGACTCAGAAGCAGACAGGAGACCAACACCATAGGCAAGGTGAAAATTCAGAGAGAAGGGACACAGCAGTGTTGGTGTCTTTCAGACCTCTCAGATCTGCAAGCAGGTTCTGACTATCAGTAACTGCCCTCAGTTCATCCTTGACCTTAACTATTAATGAGTTTTAAAATATACAGCATATATATGATGTACATGCTATGCTAATATTAATATGCATTTATATTAATATATATCAATAAGGTGTACATTTAGTAATATGCTATATATGGCATTAATGTACTTGCTGTGTTAATGATATAATACTAGTAGTAATATATTAATGATACAAAATTAAATTATAATAATATTTTATCAATTGTGTTACTTGTCAAACTCCAGCATTACCTAATCTACATACATATAAACAACAAATGCAGGTTTGTATTTATTTGTGTTAATCGGCCTTTTACGTCATTGCGTTTTCCAGGATAGAGCTTCCTTCGGGCAAACTTTAGTCATTAGTAGAGGTCAAATTGTGCATTATATTTGGTGAGACATTTTAAATTTTTTTAATTTGTTCTTTTTAGATACATGTGGCAGTAGAGTGTATTTTGACAGATTATACATACATGGGGTATAACTTATTCTAATTAGGATCTCATTCTTGTGGTTGCCTGTGTTCATACATAAATACACCACCAGTGAAACGCAAGATCATATACACAGAGTGGTGTGGCTTTTAATTTTTTAAAAAGAATTTCAATTTTTTATTTTTTATGTTTTTAAATAAAAATCAACTAACTAGGAAGGCTTATGGCAAAAAAAAATAAATAAAGTTTCCTGTTCTATACTTCTCTGTGAAAGAAACACCTGTAAGCACTGTTGGTTTTTATTCTCCTGATGGTTATGTCTTCATCTCTAAATCATTTGTTAGGTGTCTGTTTCTTGAATTTTTAAGACCTTAAAAGTCATCAATTTGTTTCCTGCTATAATTGACATATACAAAGAATGACTATAAATTTTCGTCTGCGACGGAAAGTTCTTCTGGCTTTCTAGCCAGCACTATTCACTTCTTTGGATTCTTTTATTTAACTAGAAGTAGCAAAAGGAAAAGGAAAGATAAATTTATTTTAGACCTTATTTACTACAAAAGCAGCATAATTTGGTCTATAGCTGTATCAATTGTAGACAAACTCTAATCTCCTTCTAGAAAAATAACTCCTTAGGTGTTTTTGATGTATTTTCCTCATGTAACTACAACTTATGGAAAAGCACTAAAAAGCTGGAAAGGGTTTCTGTGGTTTTCTTAAAGTAGTCATTTTCAAGGTAGTGAAAAGGTTCCAGGTGATAATTTAACAATTCTTATTTTCTAACAGCATTCTATTTCATAGATATAACAAAGCAGTGATAGAAATACAATGATTGTAAATTGACCCTCGGAAAAGGAAAAATATCAATGAAAATGTCCAAATTAAGCCTATTACGAGTATACCCAAAAGCAATCTTCTGCCCTCCAGTTTGCTGACTGCTCTCTTTGTTCCCTACAGGATGGATGACATATTGATTGGGGCACCCCTCTTTATGGAACGTGAATTTGAGAGTAACCCTAGAGAAGTAGGGCAAGTCTACCTGTATTTGCAAGTGAGTGCCCTCCTCTTCCAAGATCCACAGGTCCTCACAGGCACCGAGACTTTTGGAAGATTTGGTAGTGCTATTGCGCACTTAGGGGACCTGAACCAGGATGGATACAATGGTAATTCAAATTACTGCATGGAAGTTACTTATGTCATAATTTCATGTTATTGCTGCATCAAGGAAACAATGGGCACTTTAAAGTATACATGTGGTGTAGGCAGTGTAGTTGTTATTGTTGGTTTTTAATAAATTATTAAAATCTCAAGGCAATTTTTAAGTTTTTATGTTTTGACTAATGTAGATGTTACATGGAAATTTTCTCATGTTCAATTTAGGAAGTCCCACAATAGCTCTCAATAGTGACTTGAGGCCAGCTAGAGAATCTTCTGTATGTAAAGAGTCAAGACAAATAAATACATATTGATATATTAGCAAATATATTGTCTTCTGACTAACCTATATGAATTATATATAGTTTATGTTGAAATGTGATTGGTCTATAAACTCCAATTTAAAGGCATTTTCAATGTTTGCAATAAAGTAGTGCTAAATTCCTGGTGTAGGGTTGCAGTTCTTTAGGTTGGAAAGTCATGGATGCCTTTTGAGTATCCTCTTCTCAGAAAAATATGAAAGTTCACACAAAATTTTATAGACATTTTCAGGACTTTTCAGTTAAGAACCAAGAGTGAGTTTCTAGATCAAAGTCGAGAATATAACAGAAACTTGCTGTACAAAAATAGTCTTGGAAGTATTCACATCAGATCAGAATTCATTTGTACTTTTGACAAGTGCTATCCAACTCATGCTTTCTTTGAAAATACAATTTTAGTTAAGTACAGTGGTGCACACCTCTAACCCCACTTCTTGGGAGGATCACAAATTTAAGCCAGTGTTGGCAACTTAGTGAGAACCTATCTCAAAATAATAATAATAATAATAATTAAATAAAAAGGGCTGGTGGTTTAACTCAGTAAAAGATCACCCCTGGGTTCAATCCCCAGTAACATAGAAGAAATGAGTATTTCTGGGCAATGTGTGTTTAGTAATTTTTTTTAAAAAAATATTTTTAGTTGTAGATGGACATAATACATTTATTTATTTATTTTATGTGGTGCCGATAAATCGAACCTAGCAGCTTCCAAGTGCTCTACCACTGAGCTACAATCCCAGCCCTAGTAATTTTTAAAGTACCAGAAAACATATTAAAAACTTATGACTCCACGAACTGACAAAAGACGAGTTCCCCTTTAAGTGACTCACTGCTGCTTACAGTGCATTATTTCCTGTCACCCAAGTGAAATAATAATGTACAATTATCTATGACTGTATTCATATTTTTTTATCTTAAACCCTTTACAATACTTTTAAGAGCTAAAAGAAGCATTTTTAACCCCATCAAAAGAGTCTTAGACTCTGAGCCTTGGGATTGGGAGTCCTAAGTAGGTAAAATAATGCCCACTACCTGAGCTTAACAGAGGGGACAGAAATCAAGTCACTGACTCCGAGGAAGAGAAGGAAGAGTGCCTTTACCCTACCCCACTACCATGTCCCTTCTATGAGGTCTGAATTCTGAGATCATTGATGTTGACCTGCTGAATGAAAGCAGACTTACAGTCCTCATGAATGTAATTGAAACCGAGTCCTAGTTCATTCCGTAATCTCTTTGACCTAGGAACAGAGAGAAACGAAGGAACGTTACAAACAAGGGACAGAGCCATGGTCCACTGCCATAGCCTCTTATGTGACCATGTTGGGGGTATTCTTTTTCAAATACAATTATGTATTTATACTTATGGCTCAGGAAAAAACCTGCAAAACAATGAGGCAGGTGAACTGTATGTGAGTGGGAGTCAGGTACTATGGTTCTCTCTAGGTTCCCCAATAATCTTCGACTATTAAATGAGTCTTGCCTAGCTCATAGGACTGGGTAACCATTTAACAGTATCATCTTTAAAAACAAGGTGTTTTCTTTCTTTTCTTTTCTTTTCAAAAGAAACAACTCTTAAGTACTCACAATGGCACTTATCTGGTCCACCTGCCCTGTGATCTGTGATCTGACCTGGTTTCCTCATTCCCTACCAAGCTCCCCCATAGGTCATCCTTGGGCAGTTGACTTCGCTTGGAGTGTTCTTCCCTCTAAGTTTCATGTGGTTGGTTCCTCCTTGTCCCTAGGCTTCAGTTTCTCTGCAGACATGGCAATGCCACCTCTGGTCACCTAATCTAAAACAACACTCCCACCACTTCCAATTGTATCAACATTAAGATTCTCTACACAGCACTCATCACTTTTGATATTTTTTGATTATGTCTCCATTCAAATTGTCTGTTACCTGCACCAGAGCATACATTTTTCTGAAGACAGGCAGAGACTGAGTGTCCCACTCACTGTTGTACCCACTGCACCCAACATGTAATAAATAAATACTTGTCAGTCAATACTTGTCAGATGGATAAAAGACAACAGATAATTTTTCTGTTGCTGCAGTACTACTGAATCCTCCTCCTGAAAAATGTAATAAACCCTTTGGATTTCAAGATATTGCTCTTTGATTGTCCTTATCGATTTCTAAAACATTCTCCTTTATTTCAAAGTATGTTTCTATGTCTCTATTTGTAGACATCGCCATCGGTGTGCCCTTTGCGGGCAAGGATCAAAGAGGCCAAGTGCTCATTTACAACGGGAATGAGAACGGCTTGAACACCAGAGCGTCCCAGATGCTGCAAGGAGCATGGGCCTCCCAGACCATCCCTTCCGGATTTGGCTTTTCTTTAAGAGGAGATTCAGACATTGACAAGAATGATTACCCAGGTAAGGTTTTCTTCCTTTTCCCATGTGAGAGTCTGCTTCCTGGCAAGAGTCCATTCTCTGGAGAGTGGATCATGTGTAAGCAGTTCTCTCATAAAGATGAAGGTCGAGCTTAAACACTTTCATAAGAATTTGAAGGAAAATAAAACAAAACTTTCCCTTTCCAGGCAAGAGACAACATTAAAGAGGCAAGATGGTTTAAAAAGCTGCAGTCGACATAAAACTTATCAACTTTGCAGCCCCAGTTTTCACTGAAACCCTGAAGTAATTTTGTCTCTATTGGCAAAGACAGCGTACATCAGATACCTTTCTAGAATAATTTATTTTAATCCAGTAATTCCCATTTATGTTCACAGTTCCAATTAATCAATAGATAAGCCTCAACATTTTCTGTCATAAGACTCATGTTTTTAGAGCATAAATATTTTCCAGCCGCATTTTGGAGCTTTCCAAAGATAGACTGAATATTTTAAGGAAAAAAAAAACAAAAAAGTGGTTCGTGATGAGAATCATAAACTCTTCTTGATTACCTAATTCAAACTGAAATTCATAAAGTGCTGATAGATAATTCATGTTCTGTGCATTCCACATCAAAATAGGGGTTTGTCTTCAAGGATTATTTCAGTAATCAGAACTTTTAGCAAAGAACATTAGGCTCCTTGGTTTTATGGTTCACTTTTTATTTTTATGTTGGTTATTTTTAAATGGTTTCAATAAATGCTGAGAAATAATTAATAGTTAACTGACAGCTTCAGCTATTTATTGAAACCTTGTCTCTTCCCACCAGCACCTCCCCTAATTGGGAATTTTCCATATGTTTCCATATATTTTCCAGGGTTTTCTCTGGTTTGGGGCAAGAGTCCAATAAGCTGACTGCCTAAATATACATCATTAATTTTAATATGTTGGCTTTCTCTTCTCCTCTGGGATTAGGCAAAAAAGGATAACATTACACATTTTTATAAATTTGCCAGAAACCTTTCACAACACCAACATAGATGTTGTAGTGGGCTCAAAGAGGATTTGCTATTATGTCGTATACTAATGCTTTCTACCTGTGGTAATGTCAAGAACATTTAGTTATTTTCCTAGGTCATGATATATTAGTATAGTCAATGATGGTTAGTTTTACTTTTGGGGAGGTGAGGGTGAGAGAGGGGATCTCCTGCATAATGTATTCTAATTTTAAATAATTCAAAAATCTAGATCCCTTATGTTATTCCTACCCAACATATGTCAGGGTGATTAATGAAATTCAACTCCTGGGTTGCGATTTAGTTGAACAGTTAATTTAGGAAGTTCTTGCTATTCCTTAGGCCTGTCTTAGGCTTCCTTCCCTCACTCTCAGTACCAGGGGACTTGACAGACAGAATGGCTCTGCCTGCCACCAGGCAAAGGAAGTGAAGGATGTGTTGATCAAATAGCCAGTGTGTTGCTCAAGAGAGGAGGAGGCTGGAGTCCGATGGAGACACCATTTGTGGTTTCGTGTCTAATGAGGAAAAGGAGAAGGCACTTTGGAAGTTTCACTTTGGCTTGGTGTGAAGAGGGGTTGGCAGGGAGTCACACCAGTGTAGTTAACAGTGACCTGGATCCCGGGAGTGGCAGTGCAGATGTGGAGAAGTAAATGGTTGAAGAGCTTGTTGGGACATGGAATCAACAGGGTAGGTTGACAACTGTACATGGAGGATGGATGAAGGAGAGAGAGGCTTTTATAATGACTTCCAGTTTTCTGGCTTTGGTGACTAGCTGGCTGGTGGTGCCATTTGTTGAAACAGAAAATACGAAGGAGGACCAGAAATGTGGAGAAAATAATGATTTTTAAAACATTGTGAATCTGGGAGAACTTGGCCCACCCATGGGCAGGTGGGATGCCCCAAGCAGTGGGAGGCATGGGTCTCAGCCGGAACTCCAGGTGCTGAGGGAGTGGAGGCTAAAGTAGTATCTGTGCTTGATGCCAGTTAGGAATAATTCAGATTCAGCAAGATTTCTCTGTCAGTGAATTACCCTCTGGAGTCCTTGCTCAAAGCTTCTTGACCCCTCTGAACATGCTCAGTGTTTCTCAGTTCCACCAACTACATGCTCAAGACATGAAAGATAATCTTCATACTGAGCTGAGAGATAATTCTCTTTGTATCTTGGCTCTTTTCTTGCCTTTCTCCAGGAAATCCATAGAATGGAAGAATTTGCAAATTCATGAAATACTTAAATCTTGCAAGTGCAAGTCTCTTTTTGGAACACAATAATATAGTTCTTGAAAAAAATTCAACATGTTGCTGAATATTATGTTTGTGAATTTTAAAATATTTTATGAGGAAAATATTGTTGCCCTTTAGAAATTTTATAATCATTTGGTCTTAATTAAAATCATCACCAGAAGAAAATGTACAGGCCCTGTAGCCCTATATACAAGCATCTCCCGTTCCCCTGATTACTTCCAGAACCTGAGCTAATTCCAGGACCAGGGCTGCTGCAAATGATGAACAGGTTATGACCAGCCAACGAGCAAGTGGGGGAAGATTCGTATTCTGGGGGATTCCTTAGGCCTGTCTTCCACTCAAGAAGGGGCAGGGGCACATTTTAAAATTCACATGCGTTTTTCAAAGTCACGTGTTCTCAGTGGCTCTGTTCCAGTTCTTCCATTCTAAATAGACCAGAAACAAAAATCCCAGATCTCATGACTGCATCTGCCTGGTCACCTGCAGGATCATGAGGAAACAAATGCAAAGTCAAAGAGATTAGAAATTCTGAACTGACACAAGTCAAACCACTTGGAATCATTATGAAATGGAACACACCTAAGAGACGGTGCTTCCCATCAGTGATGACACACAACATGGCTCCCTTCCCCATTCTTGAGATGAACCGGCATGTTTTCCCCATTTGAGGTACTACAGTGGTGAGCAGCCATATAAAAACAGATTGCAGCGTTGGCCTTCTTTGTCCTCACTGTCTGGGCAGCTTGTGAGGAACCAACTCAAATAATGCAGACATTCCCTTTGCCCCACTCATAGATAGCACAGTACTCTACCTGTTCTTCACAGAACCTGGCTGCTATTTACACGGAGAAGGAGTAGGGATGAGTGTGATGCTTTATGTTTTCTTATTGTGCATTATAGCTGTTTCATCTTACACACTGTCTAGAAATCAGTTCACCTGGTACCTGAATTAACTAAAAGCACGGCCATGTAAAAAGATGTATGTCTACACATTCTAGGATGATGAGAACAGGCAGCCCAGGTTTAAAATTTGACCCCATTGCTTTCTAGCTGTGTAAGAGTAATAAAATGTCTTGACCTCTCTGAATTTCAGTTTCCTTTCTATAAAATTAGATGAGAACAGGCTGGTGTAAAAATGAAAGAATTGAATTGTCATGGGATCTGTTCTGCAAGCTACATATGTTATGTCTTTCAGCAAGACCACTTGTTTTGGGAAGAAGGAATGCCAGAGAACTCAGGCATGGGATCAATTATATTGTTAATATTTTTTGTAATTATAGCAATTATAACTACTGATGTATTATAAGTCCAAAGCATACTAGCATTGAAGATACATACAGGGCATATCCATTAGAATATTATCATTATCCCTTCATACACACAGATATACTCATACATATATGTGTATGTGGGTTTATATTTGTTTGTATGTATATGTTTTCACATAGCAGGAGAGTGGTAGACTTCTTTCTTTTTGAAAAACATCTAACTAATATAAAAATAACCTTATTAAAGACTTCCATCAGAGAAAGGGAAACCAGATGCCTGATTTTGAATTCCCACCCAACACTGGTTCAATTGGCACTCAATGGGTTATTTGACATTTTTGAGTTTCCGTGTCCTTATCTGGTAGTACAGAGCTAAAAAGACCTACTTTGCTTGGGTCGGGGAGAGGGGTGGGTTGCACTTTCTAAGTTGGGAGAGGATTTTTACAAAATGTCCTGAATAGCTTAGAATAGCAAAGAAAATAAATTTGATTGCCACTCACAGAATAGAAACCACTTTACTTCCCAGTCACGTTGGGCTCACGTATGATTTTGAAGAACTGCAGTCAAGGATGTTAGAAACAAACAGCCTGGGTTTAAAATTTGACCTCACTGGTTTCTAGCTATGTAAGAGTAAGGAACTGTCTTCGCCTCTCTGAATTTCAGTTTTCTTGTATATAGAAATAGACAAGAATATATTGGTGTGAAAATGGAAGGAGATAACTTTATGATATAAAATGAGATCATATATTTAAGTTCCAGTGAGATTATATAGAACTTGTTTAATAAATAGCAGCTCTTTAAACAACTTTTTAAAACAAAACTGTATATATTTTGGAGGCATTCTTTTTCCTCTACGCAACTAGTTGATATTCTTTTCTTTTGCTCAAATAAGCAAACTTCCATGGTCTCCAAGTTTAACGTACAGTACATTTGCTTCTTCTGCCCCAGAGTAAGGATATATCTGTTGGGACCCTGCTGGGTGGAGAACCATTCAAAATATTCCTGTTGCTGGACCCTCAGTAGAAGGTCCCCCCAAGATCATGAGTTTGCTACCCCAGTGTGACAAAATCCACTACCATTCCTCTTCACTCCCACCCCAAAGTGAGAGATGAGAGACCAGGTACTTCTCTCTTTCCTTACTGCTGTGCTTTATAGGGGGCCAGGGAGAGAAGACGCTCTTCCCTCTCAGCCCCTTAGCCATTGAAAAATATTTGGTTACATATAAATTAGGTGGGAACTAGTGTGATAACAATGGGAATTGAAGAAAAGGAACTAACAAAATGGTGTGAATGAAAAATAGACTGTACTGGACTTACGGGCTGTAGTGAAAAGCAGAAGAACAGCAGAAAGTAAGAGGTGACTGTAAAAGACCACCTGGAATTTTGAGCAGGATACCTGAGAAAAATACTGTCTCAAGGACAGACATGGGGAGATTTATGGAGATTTGATTATAGAAACATGGGCAATCATTTTCTTAATGTCTAATGTATCCACCCATTTTTTTTTTGGCATTTTTTGG